AGCAGAACTTCGTGCAACCATCATGCCTTCCCAAATTAGAAGCATACGAAGCACTTTGATGACTTTGATGAACATTGTGCACACGAAACCTGGAGCAGTCACTTGAAACCTGACAGATCTGACAGGTTTTTGGAGATTTCACCGGACTTCCGCAAGGCATCCTTGGGTGTGGGATTTGAACCTCACGAGCAGTCTCTGCCTTAGTCGAAGCTTTGGGTGGCCTCTCCAGTCTGAAACCAGAAAGTTTGACCAGTTTAAAGAACAATTTAGAACGCCCATTACTGGTACAGTAGGATGACAGCAATTTCAGGGTTTCTTCAAGTGGGGTTCACACTATGGTGCTTACATGAACAAGTTCCGAAGACCTTTCTTAAGACTATAGTCACCCTGAAGTAGATATAATATGGACATTTCAAAAGATCATCACTAATATGGGAAAAATATTGAAACCAAGTTCTATCTACTCCAGGATGACTACAGTAATTAGCGCGAGACCAGTGGAGTAGCCTGTTTGGTGAAGCAGACGAAAAAGTGGTTGTTTCATGTTGCAAAGACCCTTGTTCTCAATCTCTGGGTATCCCATGCAATTTGCACACTCAAAAAACAATGTTGGGGAGCAACCATGAAAACCTGATCAAACATGTATATGACGAGTGAAGGCAACTGACAACGCGTGGTGGTCAGAAGTACCCAGGTGCGTTGCTTGCCGAGCGTTGCCGCGAAAATGTGTCAGTGATGGAGCCACAGGCACCCGCAGGGCTTCGGTGCCACTTCAGATCTTCAACACTTTTGGAATCTAATATACAGTATAATCTATTCATAATATTCATATATATATATATATTCATAGACTCATAGACTGCACTTTGTGGATCCATCCACATCATCCAATCCAATACTTCATGCAACAATTCCGAGAGCATCCGAAAACTCCATTGGTAGGTGCAGATGGAGCCGTGTACAAGCTTACGATGGAGACGACCATCTCAGCTGTAGCGGCTTGACTTGATAATCCATGGGTGAGAGACGAGTTTTTGTAACTTGCCAGTGGTATCATCCATTGGCGCAAAGGAAGAGACCCAGAAGGTGCTGACAGATAGGCTCAAATATCCTTTGAGCCTCGCAAGCAATTCCTTCGTGGTCCGGTTTGGCATGTTTAGCAGCGGCCGTCTTCTGTTTGCATCTTTTGAAGTTCTCTGCTATTTCATGGTTCAAGTTGGGAAAGCAAATTAACACACCACGCCAAATCCACCAAAATACCGCCTCCTGTGCAGTGCGCGCTTCGACCCCATTGCTTGCTTTACCTCGAAAACTAAGAATGGAATCCGGAATGTGCCGCACCTGAACAATCCAAGCATAATACAGAAGGAACTGCTGATGGGATGCGACTTGTTTGGCTTTGGAATCAATCTTGCTGCAAGCAGGTCAGAAGCTTAGTGTGAACTCAATGAAGCAACTTGAGCACTGCTCAGGCTTAGTGTCAGCTCTTCAAAATGCTGTGAATGATTGTCGACGGCTGTTCCTTTCACGTCTTGAAAGGACCATGTGGCTGCTGCTTTGGTGGGACTCTTGGACCTTTTTTCAGTGCAAGCATTCCAGCTTCTGTTCCATTTGGTGCCCAAGAATTTGCTGTATCTGGTAGCATCGCTAGCCTGTTGCCCACTTGAATCGTATTTGTCGTCTAGATGATGCAGGCTAGACCTTTTTGCTCCTGCCTTACTTGCACACTGTCTTGCTCCGCAACAGTGATTCATGGGGATTCCTCGGGATTGGGTTGTTGAACTCTGAGGTCCTGACCAAAAGCTACGTTGAGTACGTTCCACCTGAGGCCGGGCTTGCATTTACCAAAGCCTGGCGTTAGAGACAGCGAACCTGCACAGGTGCAGGGTGATGGAGGCTACAGGCCTGGCTTGCAGAGAATTGACATGTGCTGACACCTGCAGAATTTTTGCAGAGGGCACCACGATACACGATTGATAGATATTGATAGACCCAATTTGCAGGCATTCCTTTGAACTTCGGTATGACAATTCTGTGCGGCTCTGAAAATATGTCGCAAGACTATGCAAGAATCTGGGAAAGTAAAAAGCTTCAATCACTTGCAGTAAGCTGTTGTACAATTAGATGTCCAGCCGCGGAGAGCGCACTCATATCGTTGAAAACTAACAGTGCAATTATGCACACGCAGATCCTACCTTGGAAGCAGACTGGAATAGGCAGACTGAGATACTGCAATGCGACTGCTGGTGAACAGAGGATATAGGGACCATCAGGGACCTGGTTGCCAATGATCACAGAAATGCGGTCAACTGAGGTCTGGGGGACTGGAAGAAATGACTTTGGCCAACTGGGAGATGGTTCTGTCGCTCATCGAGTCACTCCAACAAAGGCGCCCTGCGCCGCCGGGTGACACGTTGAGCCTTCACTGTTTGGTCGCAGAACCTGGCAATGAATTCGTCCTGGCAAGGTCTTCAGAGATGCTTCTCAAGCTTCAGCTGGAGAGTGGTCAGGGTCTAAGATTCTCGTCTGGTTGCAACTTTCATCAACTTTCGACGTTCAGCGATGTCTTCCTGGCATATTCAGATAATTGTGAAAGACTGAGTTGCAAGTGAGGCATAGCCTGTTCTTGCGGAACGATAGCGCCGGTGCCTTTGTAATAGTAAAGCTGGCGACAGAGCCTGAGGTTCTCAGCCATCACCGGCCAAAGCCACCAAGGTTGTATTCGCATGTGGGCGAAATGACTTTGGCCAACTTGGAGATGCTACCAGGTGCTGTTCTGTGATTGGGCTACATGCTGTGACAAAGCCCGAGCATGGGATCACCTGTTTTGCCAGGGTGACTCGAATATATCCAGTGCAGCTTGGCTCTTCGAATGGTTGCAACATGTTTTTGTCTGTGTTTGGAGCCTTTGCATCCCTTCATTTCATTTCATTTCACTTCATTTCACTTCATTTCACTTCATTTCACTTCATTTCACTTCATTTCACTTCATTTCACCTCATTTCACTTCATTTCACTTCATTTCACTTCATTTCACTTCATTTCACTTCATTTCACTTCATTTCACTTCATTTCACTTCATTTCACTTCATTTCACTTCATTTTACTTCATTTCACCTCATTTCACTTCATTTCACCTCATTTCACATCATTTTACTTCATTTCACCTCATTTTACTTCATTTCATTTCATTTATATTATATCATTTCATCTCAAGCTGACATTCAGCCCAGGCAAATCACAAAACCGATGATGGCCGTAAGTGGCGGGGGCTTCCACAGCCTTTTGCTGGGCACCGACGGTTTTGCTCAGGCCTCTTGAGCTTTCTGAAAGCGGACCGGAGATCAATTTCGGGAAAGCTCTCCATAGCAGGCAACCGGGCTCAACGATTTCGGACAACTTGGAGATGGCTCCTATGTACATGTCTCAGGATTCAAGATTTGGCGACTTCTGGCATTGGATCTCGTTTCTCGGTCCGCTGTGAATCCAAGGTGTCAAAGACGAGACCGGTGATGGTCGTCTTCTCAGTGCATCCAAATTTATGATTAGATGCAATGCATCCGCAGCCGGTGAAAGCTTGCACCGCAGGTGATGGGGAATGTTTCTGCCATTGCTGCTGGTGGCACTCGCCTTGTCTGCTCAAATGAAGAGAACAGTGGGCGCAAACGTGGAAAATGAATGAAAATGAACGCTTATCGCGTTCCAAATAGTGTCATGCTATCATCTTCTTTTCCAGGTCACCACAGCGTCTTTCTTCTCAATGATGGAACGGCATGGACAACAGGCACTCTTCACAGCGTTCAAGCCATCTCATTTTATTGTTTTGCTCTACTAGGACTGTACATGTCTCCAGAAGGCGGGGGGCTTATTGCAGGTCGCAACCACTATGGCCAGCTTGGAGACAGGACAGCAAGTGAGACGAATTTGCACATTTTTTGCACTGCAGATCTATTGCGAAGGACCACAATTACACGTGTGCGGCCCGTCTATGTGCATGGCTTGGTTCACGTATATGTTCACATTCTGTCTACTTGGGATCCTTTAAGGGCAATTCACTAGCTGGCATGACTTCGCAGAGACACTAACCAGGTGTTGAGCGATGTGACGACCATTCTCGCGAGAGATGACTACAGTGGCATGCTGAAATCGGACCTTGACTTCACTGAACGGGATTCTAGCAGGCTCAAAGACATTGGAGGACCATCCGTCTTCTAATTCTGACATATTTTCGCCAGTGGCCTGGTATGACCTGGTATGGCCTGTTTGCCTTGACACCTGTAGGTCTCTTTCTGCTTAACAATGGATCGCTTGTGGCTGCTGGAGACTTCAATTCAGGTTTGAGTCTTAAGATTCGGTTTCTCAAGCCACTTCCGCCCAGACTTTGCGCAGAGTTTGCACAGTATGTTGCTGCGGGATGTTGCGGGAGGCTTGCCCCGGAGTCAAACAAGCTGGCAACAACCTCAGAATGTCTCAGAACTAGGAAACTAAGAGGCATGCATCATGCAACGTGGCGAAAACAACCTGATGATCGGCGCATTTTTAGGAATCCTATTCAGATCTTCTCGCCGGACCAGGCTGATTTGGTTGCAGGTGCCTTGCAGTGTATGAATGACTTTGAGAAGACTGTGTGCAGGTCCAGCAGATCGCACTTGATATCTGAGTCCAACATCTCAAAGAGGATGTTTGCATCAAACCTGAAGTCCTGGGACATTCGAAGCCGTTGCTCAAAGCTAAAGGCTTTTAGAGCATGTTTCGCCAGCAGGAATGGATTACACTGGAAAGACCAGAATGGAGCCAGGAGAAAACTGGCCTACTATCAGATCATTTGGATTCATTTGGTACATTTTAATTGGCTTTGATCTGGTCACTTTTTCTCAGTTCTTCAGGCCTTCAGGTGTTATTTTAATCCCCAGCACAAAGTGCGACTTCGCCAGGGATGCACGAGTCCACCCAGCAATCTGCCACAAGACACCGATGCCGTCACTCGGTCTTCGAAATGGGGTACAGAATCTAGCGCCCCATGTTACGTAGACATTATTAGCAAATATTAGCAATACAGGCAGATTTTGGGCTGAAGTTACCAGTCTAGAACATTGCATCCACTCTGTCAAAGTTTATTTCAGGTTCTCTCCAAACGGGATTTGCCACAAGCCAGAAGATCTCTTTTTGTTTTTTTTTGTTATTCTTTTTTATTTTTTTGAGTTTTCGAATTCACTCAGGTTTCTGATGTGCAACCGCTACCACTACTCCGTCAGATGGCGCTGGCAGAAGCGGGTTGGCTCGCTGGAAAGGACTCAATGCTGAGAGAATTTCAACTGTCATGCTGTGGTGACTGAAGATCGATAGAAAACGGAAAAACGGTGAGGCGTAGAGCATTGTGCGTCTGAATCTACGGTAACACCGGTAAAACATGCGACTGGTAGTAGAGATTTGAATCACATCCGCACTAAGGCTGTTGGGTTCCTCTTGCAACCCGGCAGCCTATTCCTTTTTGAAGCCGGATTGGCGTGTTTTATGCACGGTTCGGAACTACTACAAAACCTATGTATATAATATGTAGCATAACAAAGGAGCATGAATTGTCCGCACGTTTGCTCGAGGTAGGTATATATATATTATTATCTGTCCACTACTGAAGATTTGAGACCCTAGCGTCACTCCTTACTTAAGGCTTAAGACGTTTTAGGACTGGTTTTGATGCATCTCCCCCATCCTGATGATTTGAATAGATGGGTATCAGATTCCGCATGCCTGCTCTCAGCAAGGAGTCTCTAGAGGATCGAATGGCTCCACGCAAGTTGGTGGCAGAGGCTCACAGCATAGTTCAATATGTTCAATCACATTCAAAGAGCAGCATAAAGTGAAGAAGACCAAGATAAAAAGCAATAGTAGCCGAGCTTGTCTGGTCATCTATTTGCGGGCACAGTGAACACAGCTTTTTTCCTGGGATTGAAACAGGATGTGGCTGTGCACAGAGTGGCAACCCCCAGAATCAACAAGCGACGTCCTCCAAGTGCTCAGGTGCGAGATGGAAAACCGCATAGTGAAACGTCACTCATCTCGTCAAACGTTTTAATGTTTGCATTGGCCGCCAAACAAATCAAGGACTTGTACATTTTGTACCAATTCCGTTTCCTTGGCAAGAAGTGCAGCAAGAAATCACAAATCAAAAAGTGAGACATGAAGCAACAAATCAAGGCTTTAACAAGCGGTTCCTTCACAGTCAAGTTGCTTCGTCGCGAAGCAGGACCCTGTGCGAGATCGTCCGCAGAGTGTCCGGTCGTGCCCTCCCAACGAAGACCTTTCGTGTTGTGCCTTTCGTACTTCATGATCTTCATGATCTTCATGGCAAAGCTTTAAGAGTTGGCCGACCTGCGCCGAGGTACTTCCCGGCGGTGAACCCTAAAGGCACAGAACCCAGAAGCAATGAACCATGGGAGTATTGTGGCAATTGACTAGAAGAACTGAAAGCTCTTGATGAGGTGCTGCATGGCATATTTATTTAAAGGGCTACGCCCTCTGCCGCCGACCCCTGGACACTGGAGGGTCATGCCTGCCTCTGTGTCGTAAGCATGAAATGAACCCTAAAGAAACCAGAAACTGACCTAAACAAACCATTTGTATGTGCGTTTGGCACTGTGCACATGCAAGCAGCATGGACCCCTGCAGGATGACACGCACAACTATGTGCTCTGACACTTTTTCATGGCTCAAGAAATAGGAGCTTTCGTCATTGGCCAGGTGTCTTGGGGACCTAAAGGGTTGCTCTAGCATCTAGCACTTAAGACCCATACCCGAAGCCCCCGTTCGTAACCGCAGTATGAAACTTTAAATGGCATCCTAAAGAGACCCGAGACGACACTGCACTGCCAACTGCCACCCTGCTCGTGTCCTCCTGGAGCCGGCTTTCGTTCTGCACAGCTTCGGTCCAAGCTGGAGTCCAAGGACCGTGTCGCAGGGCTAAAACACCATGGCAGTGAAGGACGGATTGGGCCCGCGGCCCGTATCCCAGAATGCCAAACGTCACTTTCTGAACCGACTAGAAACTAGCTCCAAACCTTGACTTTTCCTGCGTTTCTGCACTGCCAACTGCCACCCTGCTCGTGTCCTCCTGGAGCCGGCTTTCGTTCTACACCGCTTCGGTCCAAGCTGGAGTCCAAGGACGTGTCGCAGGGCTAAAACACCATGGCAGTGAAGGACGGATTGGGCCCGCGGCCCGTATCCCAGACGGCCAAACGTCACTTTCTGAACCGACTAGAAACTAGCTCCAAACCTTGACTTTTCCTGCGTTTCTGCACTGCCAACTGCCACCCTGCTCGTGTCCTCCTGGAGCCGGCTTTCGTTCTGCAACGCTTCGGTCCAAGCTGGAGTCCAAGGACCGTGTCGCAGGGCTAAAACACCATGGCAGTGAAGGACGGATTGGGCCCGCGGCCCGTATCCCAGACTGCCAAACGTCACTTTCTGAACCGAGTAGAAACTAGCTCCAAACCTTGACTTTCTGCGTTTCTGCACTGCCAACTGCCACCCTGCTCGTGTCCTCCTGGAGCCGGCCTTCGTTCTGCACCGCTTCGGTCCAAGCTGGAGTCCAAGGACCGTGTCGCAGGGCTAAAACCCCATGGCAGAGAAGCACGGATTGGGCCCGCGGCCCGTATCCCAGACTGCCAAACGTCACTTTCTGAACCGACTAGAAACTAGCTCCAAACCTTGACTTTTCCCGCGTTTCTGCACTGCCAACTGCCACCCTGCTCGTGTCCTCCTGGAGCCGGCTTTCGTTCTGCACCGCTTCGGTCCAAGCTGGAGTCCAAGGACCGTGTCGTAGGGCTAAAACACCATGGCAGTGAAGGACGGATTGGGCCTGTGGCCTGTATCCCAGACTGCCAAACGTCACTTTCTGAACCGACTAGAAACTAGCTCCAAACCTTGACTTTTCCTGCGTTTCTGCACTGCCAACTGCCACCCTGCTCGTGTCCTCCTGGAGCAAACGTCACTTTCTGAACCGACTAGAAACTAGCCCCAAACCTTGACTTTTCCTGCGTTTCTGCACTGCCAACTGCCACCCTGCTCGTGTCCTCCTGGAGCCGGCCTTCGTTCTGCACCGCTTCGTCCAAGCTGGAGTCCAAGGACCGTGTCGCAGGGCTAAAACACCATGGCAGAGAAGCACGGATTGGGCCCGCGGCCCGTATCCCAGACTGCCAAACGTCACTTTCTGAACCGACTAGAAACTAGCTCCAAACCTTGACTTTTCCTGCGTTTCTGCACTGCCAACTGCCACCCTGCTCGTGTCCTCCTGGAGCCGGCCTTCGTTCTGCACCGCTTCGGTCCAAGCTGGAGTCCAAGGACCGTGTCGCAGGGCTAAAACACCATGGCAGTGAAGGACGGATTGGCCCGCGGCCCGTATCCCAGACTGCCAAACGTCACTTTCTGAACCGACTAGAAACTAGCTCCAAACCTTGACTTTTCCTGCGTTTCTGCACTGCCAACTGCCACCCTGCTCGTGTCCTCCTGGCGCCGGCTTTCGTTCTGCACCGCTTAGGTCCAAGCTGGAGTCCAAGGACCGTGTCGCAGGGCTAAAACACCATGGCAGTGAAGGACGGATTGGGCCCGCTGCCCGTATCCCAGACTGCCAAACGTCACTTTCTGAACCGACTAGAAACTAGCTCCAAACCTTGACTTTTCCTGCGTTTCTGCACTGCCAACTGCCACCCTGTCGTGTCCTCCTGGAGCCGGCTTTCGTTCTGCCGGCCAGTAGCCCAGAGTGCCAACGTTTATTTTCTGAACCGACTAGAAAACTAGCTCCCAAACCTTGACTTTACCTGCGGTTTCTGCACTGCAACTGCCACCCTGCTCGTGTCCTCCTGGAGCCGGCTTTCGTTCTGCACCGCTTCGGTCCAAGCTGGAGTCCAAGGACCGTGTCGCAGGGCTAAAACACCATGGCAGTGAAGGACGGATTGGGCCCGCGGCCCGTATCCCAGAATGCCAAACGTCACTTTCTGAACCGACTAGAAACTAGCTCCAAACCTTGACTTTTCCTGCGTTTCTGCACTGCCAACTGCCACCCTGCTAGTGTCCTCCTGGAGCCGGCCTTCGTTCTGCACCGCTTCGGTCCAAGCTGGAGTCCAAGGACCGTGTTGCAGGGCTAAAACACCATGGCAGTGAAGGACGGATTGGGCCCGCGGCCCGTATCCCAGACTGCCAAACGTCACTTTCTGAACCGACTAGAAACTAGCTCCAAACCTTGGCTTTTCCTGCGTTTCTGCACTGCCAACTGCCACCCTGCTAGTGTCCTCCTGGAGCCGGCTTTCGTTCTGCGGACTCCAAACCTTGACTTTACCTGCGTTTCTGCACTGGCCCAAACTGCACCCTGACTCGTGTCCTCTGGCCGACGCGCTTTCGTTCCTGCACCGCTTCGGTCTAGCTGGAGTCCAAGGGACCGTGTCGCCAGTGGGCTAAAACACAATGGCAGTTGAAGGACGGATTTGGTCCCGCGGCCCGTATCCCAGACTGCCAAACGTCACTTTCTGAAACCGACTAGAAAGCCCAAACCATGACTTTTACTGCGTTTCGCACTGCCAACTGCCCACCCTGCTCGTGTCCTCCTGAGCCGGCCTTCGTTTATGCAAGCTTTCGGCCAAGCTGGAGTCCAAGGACCGTGTCGCAGGGCTAAAACACCATGGCAGTGAAGGACGGATTGGGCCCGCGGCCCGTATCCCAGACTGCCAAACGTCACTTTCTGAACCGACTAGAAACTAGCTCCAAACCTTGACTTTTCCTGCGGTTCTGCCCTGCCAAATGCCACCCTGCTCGTGTCCTCCTGGAGCCG